AAAAAATATATACTTACTCCTATTCTGTGATGCACCAACATAAAGAGGAACACCACAACATCTGTTTGAAAATTTTAATCCCATATTTTTAGCAAACCAAAGTTCATAAAAGAAAAATCAGGAACAACTGCAGAACATGATTTAGAAATCCTTACTCTTTTTCTGCCATGATGTTGTCATGTCTAGAAAAAATAATGCTAAGGTGGTTTTATAAAGAATGCTCATATTACAGAATTTATGCTGCAATTTTTGCTTATCATGATCTCAGTTCCTTCTTAATCTTTCAGAAAGGATCCAACTGGTCTCATTAGTAAGCAATGCTGCTAATTGTCAGGCTGCACTGATGTTTCCTCTCTGTTCAAATTGGAAGTCAAATATAGAACACTGAATAAGAAATAGAGCACACAATTCTGATTTTCAGATCATCCAAATTCTCTCAAGTCTAGATGGCGTATGTCAATACAGATCTCTTAAGTGTTCTGCTCCTTCTCTTTCAGGCCACGACTCCCGGACAACTTTAGCTTCCTCACCATCTTAATCAAAACTGTGGACCACAGGGCACTCTCTGTCAGTTCAGTTATCTTCTTTAGAAAATATGTATTTAATTCTGCAATCTCTACACACAGCAGTGACAAGAACAGCATTATGAATCTAAAACGATACTTTTTTAAAAAAGAGGCTTTACGGAAACAAGCATATTTGCACTCATATTTTCTTCTAAAATAATTTAAAAAATTCAGATGTGTCTTAAAATTTTTTGACCATAAGCTTCCAGGAACACTCACGTATTGTGAGAACTCAGGGCCTTGGGGAAAAAAAAAAAAAACTATGCGGATGTGTCCGAATCTTAACATTATTCCGCAATGAGGCTGCTTGCAAAGTGTATCTAAGGCTGCTTGCAAAGTATATTTAAGTCAGATTTCTCAGAATTTCACTACCTATTTTCTGTCACTGAGCTTAAAAAAGTTTGTGGGGTTTTCTTTCCTTACCACTTGGCCTATTGGCCTAAAAGTCCTATGACCCATCTGACACAGGCTATCAAAACCGTGGTTTTCTCACAGCTATCTCCTCTCTTCATAACTGAGGTATATATTCTGGTCAGAAGCAAGTTCCTCACATAGAAAAGAACTACTGGTAATGGCCATCAGTAGTAGCATGTTCACACGGGGTAAAAAAAAAAAACAACAAAATGAAACACACAAAACAATTTTAGATGGAAGACTGAAGTAAAAGAAAGCATTATTAAGCTTCCTCCAGCTATCAATGCGTAAGAGCTTTTTCTTTTAACCGAAGTTAAACAGGCGATACATAATTTTTATTATCTTGTAGAATTAAAATTCTAAGTCCAAAAGTTCCATTAAGTTGCATCCAGTAAATGTTTGTAGCTTGACCTGCCATATTCAAAATAAGAAATACAAATGGCTAGCTTTTGCCAATACAGTTACATAGTCAAAGTGTCATCTTAAAGACTCCCGCTCCATTCCATCCACCAATTATGTCAGCAGATAGTTCTTCTTGCATTCAGAAACAAAGCCTCAGTATTCCTATACACAAAGTCCTCTTTTTACTAGTAGTTCTTGTATTATGCAAATAGCTCTATTTTAAAACATTTTACACGTTACTTTGACATACTTAAATTCCAGTCAGAAATAGTATCATCATCATCAAGTTCGTCGTCATCATCGTCATCATCTTCAATACCATCTTCTTCATGTTGCTGAGCCACCGTCCGTGAACGATGAAAACGAGGTCTTATGTCCTGTTCACTATCTGGAATAGCTTCGTCTTCTTCCACATCCCCCTGTCATCAGAATGTTTTATCAGATAAACTAGTCCAACTATATTCTCAAGGAAATTAAGTTTTCATTCAAGATTTTATAAGCATATAAAAGATTCACATCCCACTTGTGCTTCCCAGCTAACTAAAAATGCAATTGTTCCTGCATTCTGCTGCCGCATTTACCAAAAAAATGACAGGAAGATAGAAGCAAAAGAGGTAACCTCCCATGCAAAGTATCCTTCTTGTTAAGAAATTACTCTTGATGGGAATGAAATAGAAGGAAGAAGTGATAGAGAAATTCTGCTACACAGACATATTCTAAAATGTACTGATGGAAAAAGCCGCGTGTTCCATTTAGAAGGCATGAGAACTAATTCTGAGCGGTTTTTTTAGGCTGTGTTGTTGCAGTAGTTCATGTGTAATAGTATGACAGCTCTGCCTAAGTTGGGTGGGAGGGGACAGGGACAAAGCAGGAAAGCCCACAGATTATTTTTCAACAAACATGGCAGCAGTCACCTTTAGTATTTGGAACAGCACACCTTGCCCAGAAACCTAATTTTCCATCGAACAGATGGTAGACCAGATCTGCCCATTCTGATGGGAATCATTCCAGATATTCTTACAAAGTAAAAGAAATTGATGCTCACCTTCAACAGAATAATATCGATCTCTGAATATTTCATACCATTTACCAGCACAGGTATCAGCCTGCAAAGAAATATTGATACATATCAAAATAACACATAAAAAAGCAAGCCAGTTTTCAGCTACCTGGGCCATAATTTTGATTGTAACCCTCACCCCCCCAACCCAGCCCCCCCCCAAAAAACTTAGTCTCATAACAAAAGCTAGTACCTAAACCAAGCTCCATTTCATAAGGTTCATCAATACTCAGTAACCTGAAAAAGTGTTAATTTCAAATTACAAACTTTGAACTAGAGGTAGCCAGATGGTACAACTGAGTTTTAAATTTCAAAAAACAGATATTCTTCCATATAACAAATTTATTCTGAAGCACCTTTCAAAAATGAAGTCTAAAGGTTTTCAGTAAGAATTTATAGTATGCATGATAAAAAAGTACTCAGTTGGCTCTCACCAATGGTACTTGTCACTTTATTTACTTGTGGCTGAAGATTCTACCTCACTACTCTTAAAGACAGAAGCCTAACTACATTAAGCCCTCCCACGGTTTTGTGAATACTGCAATAAGACAAGTCCCCAACATAGCAGAGATGTTGACTAATCTGTATTAGGATTTCACTTCGTTATTAAACTGATTATGGCTATGAGACTCCAACTGTACAGATGTATAGCCAAAAAAAGTACTAAGGGAAAAAAGTCAAATATGTCACATAAAACCACATTCTCCACAAAAAAAATTTCCATAAAAATATGTATTACAAGTCAAAACAAGCTAATAATGAAATCATCATGGACTGATCCAGCACCAGTGACAGACTCAATCTCTCTATATTCTGCAGCTGAGGAGTATTGTTTTTGAAGGTACCAAGCCAGCAATACTATTCACACAGTGCAATGGCACATTACCTTCTGAACTTTGAATGAAGGAATAGTAAGTATTCATATTAATACCAATTCATTGGCATTTCTGCAGCATACATCATGAAGTAGGCAGGAGCTATGTATTTTATAAGGAAGCCCACAGCAGCAAAATGGAACAAGATGTTAGATACCACATAAACAGGTTTTTAGAAGATTTTGTCCCACTTTTAATTTAATATCCAAAATTTAAGATTATCATCAAGTATTGACAAACTTATATAGCTCCCTAGTCAAACAGGATTCACCAATAAATAAGTTGCTTGCAAAAAACATGACATTGAAAGATCATTAGAGAAATGTAACGTTACTCTTATTTGTTTTTCTAGAAATTTAAGAGCTTTTTTAAAAAAAAAAATTGAATATAACGCTGTTGCAGTGTCAGTGTTCATGTAGGCCAAAAGAGGTTTTATACTAGTCGTTACTAACTAGTAGTTAATAACTACTGCTATTCCCAGTATAAATAGTTATTAACTAGCAGTTAAAAACTACTGTTATTGTCAGTATAAACATGATCTGTGTTGGGAAAGGAGTGGGTAGACTCGAGAATTGTGCTATCATTCTTTGTCTTTTGAGCTACAAGAGTAGAAATTAAGCAAAACCATTTTAAAACTTAAAAATTATTTCTCATAACATTAGTTCTCCTGTTTTCAACTCCTATTCCTCCACTGGTACAGCAGATGGTTTAATCTCAATTCTCTACTAATTGCTTATGAAAACTGAAATTTTGCTGATTTTTTTTTTAACTGCTTCCAATCTACAATGATTATTTTTCCTGAGAAGAATGCATCTCTTCTGTCCGTGATTCTGTTCTTCCAGTCAAGACTCTGAGAGAACTGCCCCAGTAATTTCAAAATCCTTCCACGCATACATAAAAACAAAGAGTATCCATTTACTGGGAACACGGAAGAATTCATATTGCAAAAGACTTCAGATTAGTCCGAAAAAAAGCTACAAGCCCTGTTGCAGACATGCAGATGTTTAAGTCTCAAACACAGATATTCATTCCCATTCAATCAAAGATCTACATTTTGAGGCATAGGATAACATTTTGAAACTTACAAAAAACAGTTTTTGAAACTTAGACTACCATCAGGCTGCAAAGTATGAAGGAACACATTTTACATGCTTTCTTCAAGTTAAAATTGCAATAGCAATTGATATAAAATTGATTCCTAAATCCAAGTGATGTCATGCCATTTTGTAATGTTCTTTATAAAATGGGGAACCCTTTGCATGACTATGCACATAGAAGCATTGCACAACATGTTCACGGTACACCAGATATTACAGGTAATGTCATGTGGAGATGTTTGTTTAAGCTTAAGTGCATGTTAGTACATCTTTGCATTCATCTGAAGCTTAAGAGCCTGTCAGGCTTGAGGTAAAGCATCACAGTGACACAGCTTAGGTTGCTTCTGGAGCTCATTGCATCTGAAATTCTCAGAAGTCTTTTCAATGAACGCTGTACTACAGCCATTTTTACTATGCACAAGAACTAGCTACAGGAGAATTCTTCTAAGCATACTGCAAGCTAGATACAGTCACCGTAAGAGTAACCAGGAACAAGTCAACTGAAGTTTAAATTTGACTGTTTCAAAATAAATAGGGAGTTGTAATTCTTAATACTTACTTAGTAAGATGCCGACATAACACATCTTTACAAATTGGCTGTTCAGCCAAGGTCAGCCAAAACTCACAAGCCTCCAAAGCCACATTTTCATCTTGGTCCTGGGTCCTCTGCAGCATGTACTACACAATATAAAAATAAATTACTTGTATAAGATAGAAGTTTTAAGTGTCCAGAAGAGGCTACCAACATTGTAAACTGTGTTTGCAAAACCAGACTATGCTACCATAGCAATTTTTTTTCTTTGGGGCGAGGCGAAGAAACAGACATAAGAGACTACTTAAGGCTATACTGAGAATAAGCTAAGAGAATTCTTTCTTAATGCCACATGATTCAGATTGTAAATTTCTTCATTGCTTAAGTGAAAACATTATTACCAGAAAACTGGAGAGACCCAAGATAATAAACAGCAGCTTCCTGTGAACAGATTTTTTTTTTAATTATTTTTTACTCCCCCTTTGCACTTTTCACTAAAAAGGTACAACTGTACCCTTAATAAGGTACTTTTTATTTCCAGTACCATAAAAAAGCTTCCCTTCCAAATCTTGATTACCTGACAGGGTGTAAGTAAGTAGAACCCATAACAAGAAGAAAAAATTTTAAAAAGTCTCACATTTTTCTAGCACGAATGGTAATTCAGACATTCAGTATCAAATATTTAAGGTTGCTATTAAAATTTAATCCTCCTTCAACCAAAAATAATCAAATACCTGCATAAACAAAAAGCCTAAGCAGACTACTGCTACATCGGTTTCTTATACAGAGCTGCCAGAACAATTTAGGGAAGATTCTTGCAACTTCCAAAATAGTAATTTCTACATTCTTCCATGTCAGCCCTTATTTCTGGAACAGTTGGTTCTTCCATTCATTTTAGAAAATCTCATGGAAGTCCATGCAGCTACCTTTCCTCACACATGAATTTAGAGCAAAAGAAATCCTTCTTCAGTGGCTTCAGAATACCATTTTATTCTCAAAATTAACTAGAATGGGGGGACTTTTATTATCCTTATGCATTTCAGGGACGCAAGACTTGCCACGAATGCATCCCTTTCAACAGAATTGCATTAAATTGCAAGCTTTTCCTAAAGGTTCACTATCGTGATTAAGAACTCTCAGTAACATAAATACTGTTCTATTCCAAGTTGTCAACAGGTTGCAGCTCGGAAACGTTGAAGAATGTCCTACTCATTGAAAGCAAGGCTTCCTTAATGCATCTTAAGTTAAGAGATTTGGCATTTTTCCCTAGAGGGCTTGAAAATCCACTCTTTTATTGGGATTTGTTATTTGTCAGGGAGACAAAAACAGGATGACAAAAAGTAATCTGTTTGAAGGTGCCCCTCACACTGTCATTTCCTCTTTAAGTATCTATTCTAAGTGTTATATGCTCCATGAAGTTAGATAGCAGTAGGTTGAAAAGGCTACTTACACTCAGTGGTGTAAGATAGCCATACATATGGCTTGAAAAATCATAGCAAGAACAGCAATCCTAGTAACAAAGCAAAATGTGGGAAGCGTATTTGAAGGCTTTTTTTTTTTTTTAGTATTACCATGCCAAATTGTAATAAGTACTTTTAATGATAAAATACAAAGTTCTACTGACTTTAGGCAATGCAAATAGTTGCTTCGTCACAATAAATTACAAAATAACATAGGAAGATTACTTAGTACAGTTTTGTGTACTCTGTAACATCAACAATGCTGTGTTAGTCTTGTTAAGTCAAACCAGCAAGAAAAGAATAGTGGGATACATAAAGCATTAAGAAGAACACATCTTTAAGCAGTAACAGTCATGTCTATCTGAAGAAAGCAACAGGATGCAAAAGGCAGGATTTCTCCTGAGAAAGATCTCAGGAGCCATGCGTTTGGATAAATATGCTCTGTCAGCATACAAGTGCAATATAATAATAGGTTGGTCTGCTCCTGACATATCCTATTATTGAGTTCTCAGACAAAAAAGAAAAAACGTGCTTCTGTTCACCTGGAAGTGCACGCTCAAAAAACCCAATGAAATCCAAACTCAGCCATTCCTGTATGCTCCAGGTATTTGGCAAGAAAGTTAATACTAAACCTGCCTGCATCAAAAGCATGATGACCGTGAAGACCTTCTTCGAATCAATAATGGATCATTAGTATTCTTAACTACTTTAAAAGTGATTCTCCATAAGCACAAATAACATGTAGATACAAGGTTCTCTCTTTTAAGACTTTCTTCACTTAGAGCAGCCATCAGCAGCAGCATTCAGCTTGGAGGCATTAAAGCCTCAAAGGTGCAAAACCTGAACAATAGTCAGTTCTGGAATATTATGTTTGCACATACCAAGATGTATACAGAACTGGGGAAATCAGTAACAACACAGTAGTTCCAAAACTGGAAAAAAAAAAAAGGTCTAAACTTTCTGTTACAGAACAGAAAATCACTACTACTGCCTTTTGTAGAGAGGAAGCCTAGTAATAGTTTTTCCTAAGAGCAAAATACCAGATACAATGAGAATACAATCTTGGATCTTTTTCTGGTTGGTGACAAGATTTTCTACCTACGAAGTCCAGAAGTTCCTTACTGATTTTAGCAGGGTGAAGAGCCACAGAAGGTATCATTTCTTGACAATATAATCTCCAAAGCTTTATTCTTTCTCAAAAAACAAAAAATCTCTCAACCAATCAAACAAAAAAACCCCACCACCAAGTACCAACAATGCTTGCTTGTCCTATGTTATATGAGAACATGTCTGCCAAGACTGGTGTCATAGAATTCCAGACAACACATAGGAAAATTAGGCAGCAGGCCAAGGCTGTCAAGGGTCATCTCAGGTTTACGCATCTCTAATATCTGTGTCCAACAGCAGAAAAACCTAACACCTTCTTTGTGTTGTCTGGATGCAGTCCTTATGGAATTTGACACGTGGCTTATGACCCACTTGTCCACATGAAATCTGCATGAGAAACATTCTGATCTTAACTATACTTCCAGTCTGGCAGGTAGAATATGTAAACGCTACCTAGAAACTGCCAGTATTTCCCAGAAACGTGGAAATTACAGCTCAAACAGTTGAGTAGACAAAAAACCAGTGCTGATTGATTCTCTGGTAGACAAGTCTGCACTAACCTAGAATGGTAAAGGAACTATCAAATGACATTAACCTCTACAACTGAATGCAACGGGAGGCAACGTTGTTAGTAGCTCTAAGAGCATCTCAGCATATAAAATAACACGCCATATCCTTGTTATGGTCAACACATCCGAAAAAAGTGACAGCTTCAATGTGTAAACTGTAGCAGTATCAGCACTAGCACTACATTTTTAACATGATCTTCTCATTTGGGGTCAAGCAATGCCTGGCTGCCCCATAGTATAGCTGATCCTGGCTATTTCAGAATCAATTGACTTAATGAAGAATAAACAACTGCCTGTCAAACATAATGTCAAGTTGGCAATTAGCTAAAAGAAAGTTTCGCAATCTCAGTCTTGAAGGAAAATGAAGAGTAGGCAAGTGCAAGAGTAACATACCTGTTCCGATGAATGCTTTTTATTTGTTATTATTTCTACAACCCCAAACAGGTTTCAGCACACAATCTGGAAAATGAGACTCACCTCAACTATACTAATCATATGAGGAAGCAGGCGATCCATTCGAACTTCCAGCAACATTACCAGAGCACGGCAAACGTTTTTGCGTACTTCAGGCTCCTCATCACCAGCCAGTGCAAAGAGATTCTGTTGGAAAGTAGTACCAGTTGAAAAGCGTCAGTTCATCCAGTTCAACTTGTACTTAAATTGACATTACTGGCAAACTAAAGTATGCAAATATGTACTTCTGTACTCTCCTACCCCACACCTCAGAATACCATTTTATTTCTTAAAGACATAGTTCAGCAAATAAACTCTTCAGACTCTCAATGTGTATTGTACACATAACTAAAATACTCTGTAATATTAGCACTGGCACAAGAACAGTATTTCCTGGATTTTTTTTTCTCCTAAACATAAATGAAGTTCTGAAGCCAGAAAACTCCATCAGTACATAACAGCAGCAAATCAAATACTGTACATAACCCAAAATACCACCCTTTTAATACATGTTCAGTAGCAGTATTCAGAGAGACCCCGACGGACTCAGTGACATGATGATCCCTATACTGCATTTTCCGTCACAGGTAAGTGACAGATTGCTGCTATTATTTTTACGCCTTTATGCAACAAGAGTTTCCTCTACTTATGAAGAGGAAGCATCTTTAAAAATACTATTTTTTGGGCTTGAGAGTGCTTAGACTAATCAACTCTGAGCACAAGCATACAGAATGAACTTCAATCCATGGGGACTGAAGCCTAAGAATGGGCAACGAGAAATGGGGAGTTTGGGTGCAGAGGTAGTTGTAAAACATAATTCAAAACTCTTGGTAAATCAGATATGTAATTTGACTTAATCCCCCAGCCAAGAATGCACACCCACCTCAATAAAAGAATCTATGTGCAACATAAGAGCTTGAGTTCTGCTGATGATAAATTGATTGACGCATGCAACAGCATGAGATCTACAAACGGAACAGTTAAAATACACATTTTTCATGAGTTAAAAACATTTTTCAAACTGTAGATAGGCATTAAAAACATCAGGAAGCAAATTACACTGTCCAAACATATTCTAGAGGCAAGAAGGAATAAATCTGCACATCTATAGTATTACAAAGCAAAACTACTAAACCACATTTTAAATAGCACCTTATACTCTGATACATCTAATAAATATTTTAAAATATTCAGTAAATAAAAACAAGAGCAGGATGACTACACCTGTCATATTTGTTCCGAACAGTATGTAAGGATGTTATTTTTGAGTATATTTTGATTATTGATCTTCTCAGATATTAACAATTCCATACAAGTCAATATGGTGAAATTTTAGCATGCCCTTCTTCATTGTTAAGTATCCAACTGCCTTTGCAATATTTTCAGTATTTATTGAGACCAATATGTGTCAACAACATAGTCGTAGCTTAGAACAAACACACACTTGTAATAGGATACATACTAAACATACTAAAAAACGAGGCATTAGTTCTTGTATTCCATTTCATGCAAAGCCATTACATACAGGTCCTTTTCATTCTCAAAGATACAAAAGTCAAATTCCGTAAGTAAAGGCACAATGTAGAACTACCTGTAAAAGCCTTTGAAGATCCATTCAAATATTTTTGCTAAGGTAGCTACAAACTTCTATTCTATTCAGACATTTCTTGGAAGACTGTCTCATAAACATTGTTCATAAATTGTCTCTTGACAGATTCAAATATAAAATATTTTACTGACACCACTAATAGTTTTCATACTTCAGCACTATGTACTGAAAGCAGGCTGCGGGTCAGCAGGTGGCCTGCTTTAAACTTGAAACTAGTTTAACAGTCTCAAAGCCAAAAACATCGCAGAATAGGAAAAAGTGAAAGACTGTATAATGTGGTAAAGAAAAAAGCATGTTTTTCTCCATCTCTCCCAGCTCCAAGAAGTATTAAGCTTAGCTTTCCACAAGGGCAAGTTCATGCTTTGTTATCTATTTTTCTTAGTATGCATCTATTTTAGATGAGTTTCTAAATCTTATTTGAATTCTATCATGGTGTATTTGAAGTTATACTCTTCCTCTTAGTCTACTACTGTTGGCAATAAAGAATTGCCACCTCCGAGTTGTAGAATCTTTCAATATAATTTTCAAATAGGAGTTAAAAACCACATTTCACAGAATCACAGAGAATCACAGGTTGAGGTTGGAAGGGACCTCTGGAGATCATCTGGTCCAACCCCTCTACTCAAGCAGCCAGTTGCCCAGGACCACGACCAGATGGCTTCTGAGTATCTCCAAGGATAGAGACTCCATCACCTCTGTGGGCAACTTGTGCCAGTGCTTGGTCACCCTCACAGAAAAAAAGTGTTTCCTGATATTCAGAGGGATCCTCCTGTGTTTCTGTTTGTGCCCATTGCCTCTGGTCCTGTCACTGGCCACCACTGGAAAGAGCCTGGCTCCGTCCTCTTTACACCCTCCTTTCAGGTATTTACATACATTGGCGAGCTCCCCCAGTCCCAGCTCCCAGCCTGTCCTCATAGGAGAGATGCTTCAGTCCCTTCACCATCTTTACGGCCCTTTGCTGGACTCTCGCCAGTACGTCCATGTCTCTCTTGCACTGGACAGCCCAGAACTGGACAGAATACTCCAGGTATGACCTCACCTGGAAGATGAGGGGAAGGATCACCTTCCTTAATCAGCTGCCAACAGTCCAGTCCAGGATACCATTAGCCTTCTTTGTGGCAGGGGCACACTGTTGGCTCATTTCAGGGTAAAAGCTACTGTTCTTTATAATAAATATTAGTAATAACAATTTAATCCTGGAATTTTTCTTCTATCCTATACTTCTGTTACTTTGGAGAGCTTAATACAGTTTTACAGTGAAAAGATGATGAACCCATTTAATTTGATTCAGCTGAAAAGATTAAGAGCTTTCTAAGTTTTGGTGGAGTTAAAGCAGAAAAAATTTTCTGCAAGAACTCAGAAACTATTGTCAGCAAAATAATTTTGACTCTCCCATTGCTGAAGTCATTACAAAATGAATGCAAAGTTGTTCTTTCTAATCAGAATATTAAGTTCTAACCATAGCATTGAAATTTTCATAATAATACGCGAAAACTTAAAAGAAACAGTTTGATTTTCAAAATCACACGCTAATTGTATATTTGGAAGATATAAAGAGGTGAGATTGTTGTATTAACTACACAGATAAACACGGAAATTACTGATGCATGGAATCTCTGTGGATCTCTGCAAGATCATTTAAAAAAAAAAAAGCATGTTTTAAACAGATCTACAAAATGGCAACCTTGCTGCTCATGTAAATAAAATTTTTAACAGGTTAAGTATACCACAACACCTAAACCTACCTTATTTTTGGACTGCTGTGCTTGAAGAACTGCAAGAATTTAGGTATCATGATATTGAGTGGTCGGTCCAATACATCGCTATCTAAAATTTCAGCAGAATCTTCACATATCTTCTGAAGAGCGCCAAATGCACCCTGGTTTAAAAAAAAAAAAAAAAAAAAATCTCTTCTTTCACATTCTGAAGAACACAAAATTTCAGGTTTTGTACAGAACAGGTAATTTCAGCACAACACAGTAAACGTAGCTAATTAACAGAGTAAATGCAGCTAACTAAATATGGACTTAAACTGAAACATCCTTAAAGGCTTTTTATTTAAGCACTTTATACCAGCATCTGTAAGCTCTCAAGCTGGGTGAGTCAGTGGATAAGTAGTAATTTTAATTTTAGCATTCAATGATCATCTATGCAATCACATTTTTAAAAATGCTTAAAAGCTAGTTCTTATTTGAGAAATAAATGTCCAGGTGCAGAAGTATGCAATTTAATTACATAAATAATTGTATTTCCTTTAATAGTTTTTTATGGGGCAAAACAGAACTCTGGATATGATGGTCAATTTGAGTTTCACTTTCAAGTGTTTTTTTCTTTTTCTTGAGAAAGCAGCACTAAAACACTACATAACAGCATGGCACCTTGGACCATTATCCTATCTCTGAGGATTATTTCAAATAGTCAAAACGCTTCACACACTTTCATGGAGACAGTATCAAGTCACTAAAATTGTGTGATCACAGATTTTTATTTTTTTAAATCAGACAAGGCTTTTTTCCTCCTCAAAAACAGTTTAAAACAGTTAAATTGGTATTTATTTATTTTCCTTCATACACTCTGAACAAAACCGTTCATTTCACCCTGATACAGCAATGCCAAATCGCTTTTCCAGATTAAGTTACAAGAAGAACAACACTACTTCTAAGTAAGAGAAAATTCAGGATCAGCTTGATGATGCTGATGATGCCTAGAAGATTAGGCATCACAGAGTGGTAACTTCAGGACACTTCTCAGACGAGACGCTACGACTACCCATCTGCAGTCTTATTCTGCTTTTATGCAAAGAAAACAAATTTGTTTGAATGAACAGTAAGAACATGGAATGCAGGCAGAAGAAAAAGTATCAAATTTGAGCCACTCTTCTCTGAGGAAAATATATGTGCGTGTATACACACACACACAATACTATACATATACATAGTGTCTATGAAGAGAGATAAAAATAATCAAATTCAGATTATAATCTTCCATTTTCTGTAAATCTCCTTACCTCACAGGTATTGTAATCTTCAGAATCCAACAGGCTGCAAAGCTTTGGTAAGAGTTCAGGCCAATTCTGTAATTCCCCTTTTGAGGCAATGGTTGTTATCAGAATGCCTAAAGGAATCAGAGGGATGAAGGAAATGAGATCTCACATACCTTCACATGTTTCACACCAATTTTTCTCATTTTTCTCCTCTGAAAGATCTAAGGAGTTAAGAAATTTCTTGTTTTGTTAAGAACTGGCAAGCATAAAAAGAGGAATGGTATTTGAAGGGCTTTGAAATGCAAAGGTGCATCGTTCCTTCCTGCTACCAGAAGGGCTCCGATGTGAGAAATCAAGCACAAAGTAATTCCAGTTAAGGAAATAATCATGCCCAAATACTGCAGGGAGCTTTGGCTTTCAATTTACTAAGCACTGTACAATTTTGACCTCCAGTAAATATAAAGTATCCACCTCAAGTCACCTCTTCTTTATTATGACACAAAAGCATGAATGTGGGAAACTGTCATTCAATAAACTTACAACCCAGTGGTAAGTTACATGTTCACAACTTTACTGTGTTTACACAAAACATTAAGGACACATTCTAAGGTACCTACTAAGAGCTTACACACTATGGCAGGTCATCCAGTGATCAGTTGTAGGGGTTGGCTGATTGAGATCCAGCAAACAGACAGGTCAGCCCAAAGAGTCACCAACTCTGTTTCCACCACATACAGAAATCCCGGAAAAAACTACTTAGGTGACAGGAACAGGGAAGGCTGCTTATAAACTAGGACTGACTGTGTGAGTCCATTTTGCCTCAAGACAAAATGAAACAGGTAGCATAATCCATTACGCTACTGACAGTTACTTCTAATGAGTACAAACACAGAAGAACTTGATACTACTACAACTAGTAATCTCCCAAGTGACAAGTGATGAAAAAACCTTTCCTAAGCTTTTTCATTGAGCTAATCACTATATATCATTTTTCTTTGGAACAAATGTTAAAATTCTTGTTAAAAAACAAGAATGCAGGACAACATGACAGAGCAGAGGACAGTCTGCACAACACACACAGTAATTAAAAGATATTTTACATCATGTTTCCTCTGATGCAATAAGGCTGGAGAACCCAGGAAGACAAATGGCAAAAATGAATATCGAGGTAAAACACAACTTTACAGCCCCAGAAGTAGTTTGTATCCAGTTCTCTTCATAACTGCAACTGAATAGAAAAGATTCCCAAAAGCCTACAGAGATTTATGGAGTCCTAAAGACTGCATTTCTCCTGAATATTATGGTCCTGCAAAGAATATCAGATGCATTAATAGCCAATACTTATTTTACTGTTGCTGGATCTTAATCATCCACTTTTTTTTTTTTAATTAAACTGAACTTCACAAAAAGAATATAAATGGATTTTCTTGCATCCTAGACAAAGGACTTAAATTGCAAAATTGTCTCCCTAACTTAGATCCGGCACAGGTTTGTTTGTAGACTTAATATGGGTTCAGAAACAAACATAAGAATGAAATTCCTGGAACTCCTCTGGACTAATATGTGACAAAAGTTGTATCATAAGTCTCAAAGGGGTAGGTAGTTTTGGAAAAGAGTTGGTTGAAGATCTTTTCAAGGTCCTAGAAGCAGTTTCAGGGGATGACAAATGGTCTGACTATACTTGCAATATGTGAGAGTTTTCACAGCTGAAGGAAAGACTATTTGAAATCTACTTTAAGCATTCCCCCAAAAGGCCTATTGTAGATAGCAACAGGATAACCTAGGAGGAAATACTTCCAGGTGCATAGGCAAGAAGTGACCTGAGGCCACTGCCCCCTGCAACAGAGATGTATGCAGTCCAGACCATACATGTCATTATGAACTTTCTGTACAGGTCTGCGGAGAAGCCATTTAACGCTGTGCTAGTGTTTTTTAAATGATAAAGAGACACTTCGGTAGGGACAAAAATAATAAAAGAATAATATCAGACTATCAAGAACTTAGAGAGGCAACACTATAGCATTTGAAGCTTTGCAAAAGGTTTTAAGAACAATGAGGAAACAGCCACATAAAATTATGTTAATGTTAAAAGAAATCTTCATGGGCTGCTAATGAGCTTCATCTCCTTTCAAATGTGAAATTTTTCCCACCCACCTGCTGCTTTATTTGGCCAGCAGGGAACAGAAGACACCAGAGATTAGCCTTTGTGGCTTTCTCTGCAACACTTCACACACAGAAACATGCACATCAGAAGAATAATCAAAGTAAAGAAATAATCAATGTAGTAGCTTGCAGCTTTTTGACAGGTTTGGGCTAGAGCTGACAGCTAAAACAGGCCTTTCCTTCTGACCAAGATACTAAGCTGCAAGGTTAGAAATCTGAAACTGAAAGTCTTTATAAAGATGGCATTTCATTTGTAATGAACTTCAAAACAGATTATGTATTACAGAATCTGTTGATATTTCACTTGACAAATGTGAAATCTAACGAATATAGCAGATGGGCTAATCGAGCAGTAAATATACAAGAGAACAAACTCCAGAGAGTCAGAAATCGTTAAAAACATACGCATAATTGTCATGACAGCATCTTTTATGTCACTGTTTCAATTACATGCAACCCCAGTTTACGGCATCAATTCTACAATAAAAAAATTGAACATAAAGAAAAGGCAGCTATGCTTCAGTACTTCCATGCCAATAACAGGACAGGGGGAAGGCTGGGTTTTTGGGGTGGTGTTTTGCCTCTGTAGCTCCTGAAGTTGATTTCTGAACTCCTTAATTCTAAAAAGCTGAACTTCATAGCAAAATTCCCCCTCACAGGGTAATCATTAGCTTTCATTTCCCTTCTGCAGTGAAGCTCTCCAGTCCTGCCACTACTCTTAAACACTCACACTATTTCTCCGGCCCCATGAAAGTCCTGCCCAGACTAGATACCCCAGAAAGTTTTAAGAACAGTCACAGACGCTTCCTAAAGAGATGCATTTATTTCCTGGTAAGTTTGTGGGTCCTCAACACATGCAGCCATCTTTCTTGAACTTGAATCCATATTTCAACATTAGCACATGTGGTTTTAAAACCTGTATCACAGAGCACACTTATTTATTTGAGGATTAAAATAGGGAAAAGCTAAGTAAGGGTACAACAACATGTAGTTACCATTTGGTCTCAAGTCACAGTTCTAAAATCAACTCTATTGCCATGCTCATTCTCCTCAGCTCATTCTCCTCAGCAAGGTGACTTCTGAGGATGGGATTAACCAGTTTGCCTCCACCTTGGCCAAAAGGTATCAGCTTTTGTCTGGTTAGCACTAGATGCCAGAGACCACAAAGGAGAGTGAATGCTGCATTAAATTTTCTCTGATGCTATTTTGATGTACTTGCTCATCTTCCCCTCAGAATTCCAGAGATCTTATTTGCAGTTGGCTCATTAAATTCATAGTGCTTGAACTGCAAAAACCCGTATGCATCTAAAAGAGCAGCTCTAACTAGCACATGCCAACTCATATGCTAACAAGGCAGCCTAGGTAGGTAGTAATATATTTACACGTAGTACCAAGAGACCAGTGGATACCGGACCAACCTCACTATTAAGACGGAGGCCACAAGGATCCAACATTTAATTACTTCAAACGGCAGGGTGCAAAGCATGTGCTAAATAGCAACTCTTACACAAGCATACAGTTCGTTGGTTGCTACTCCTCTTCAGAGATCACACATGCCTAAATAATCCCTGCAAGGATCACTTAAAGCTGAACAGTAATTGAGCTACTAATCCACAAACATTTCGTACTAGGAGAAATCAAAGAATAACTGCTTGAAAACAAACAAATCCCTCACCCCCCAAAAACACCGCCCCACAAACCATCACCACCAAACAACTCTAAGACAGCAATCCAAATGGAGCTGGAATGTATTCTTCAGTCAGCTCCATTGTACTCCACTGACAATTCCTATGAGCAAACAAGCAAGCATGACTCTTCTACAACCTGAAATCACAAAAGTACCTGCCACTCAAAGACTTGTTTCTACTGTCATTAAGAAAGTGGGACATTAATAAAATACATTGTAAAGCATTTACAAATTACAAGACAGCAGGAAAAAGCTAAGAGCAAAGGGTTCTAAAGAAGCAGTAACTGGTAGATTATTTTATAAGACGAGTCAGCTGATACAAGCTGAATTTGTTTCTGAACTGACACCCACCCCCATTTTCTCTCCTGTACTCAAATATATATTTATTTTACTTTTTTCCTAGTTTTTTGAGTGGCCAAGAAAAATTACTACAATGATTGTAGTAATTGGAGGAAGTCATATTCTCAAAGAGCAGACAGAAAAGCAACTTTACGTAGAAACAAATAAAAATAATGCAAATATGCATATTTTACAAGTAAAGGTGTACTAAAACAAAGTATCCACAAAATCAGAAATCCATGTAACAAAAAAACTTCTCGCTGGAACTAGGTATCTTTAAGGTCCATTCCAACCCAAACCATTCTATGATTCTATGGTGTTCTGTACATCACACTTTATCTACTGTTTTCTGACAGAAGATATTTAAAAATGGAAAGTCATTATGTGAATGCATTATGCATGGTATGATGATTCCCTGAAGGGATGTGCACGTGTATGCATATGGGGGGGTGGGGAGCAGGAAACCAGCTAACAGAAGTGTTTCATTCATGCAAGCAAAGTACTGAAGTAGTTCTAAGTCAGACCTTTACCTTGTTCCAGTTTTTAGGCATAGGAATTGCTAAATAATTTCTAAGAGAATAGGAAGCAAAAGTAAATGTGACTTTCGTATACTCACACAAAAGATAAATATCAGCATTAAAACATGGTGAAGTTGTGACGATTGTCAGAAGCAAACAGTTTTTGGAGTTTAATAACACTTTATGTCACCAGTGCAGCTCTCACTCATATCAGTAACATTTTCAGTACACAGAAGACAGCAATAAGAGCAAACTTACCTACAGTAGCTCTAATTAAGGGGGAGGAATCACCAATATTGTTCAGACATTCACTTTTAATGAAGTCAGTTACCCCATTGGGAAAGTTGTGAAAATGTGCTTTTACATTATTCTTCAAGATGAGACCACTCAAGGAACGTGTCGGTTCATCTGCAACAGAAAATAACTACATTCAACCTTCAAGCAGCTCATAGGAATAAGGCAGATTTCCAGAACAATGCAGCAAGAGCAAAGCTTATAGAGAGAGATATTAATGTTCATTTCCTTATCTCTCCTTTCAACTACACCCATCAATTCACACAGGAAAGCTTTTCAGGTTCAGAGTTCACCAATTTCTATTTATTCAAAATTAGAATATCAGTATTACAAATTCTACATTTTAAGAGAAAGTTTTGTATAGAGATATAGGCAAGGAGTAGATCCGAAGTCACAGGATATAGGAGACTCATGAAAGAAATTGGTCAGCCAAAGACATTCAGACATTCTGATCATACTGATTGGCTTGCTGCAACACTGATACTGTCAGAAATTGATGACAAACCTGCTTTCACCATAGTAAGATACACAACTGTTTGAGTTCTCTTCACTGAGCTCTTTTTGCCTGCAAATTTCTCTAAATTACTGGGACAAGAGGAGGAATGTAAAAAGAACAGCCTAGAGTTTTCATTTCTATTGGAGCAGACTCATGTTTAGTTCTTCAGCCAAGTGCATGAGTAACTTGGTATTACTTGTGAAATATGCTGACAGTGAGATCTGGATGTTCTACATAGAAAGTTTAGTTACATTAGTTTATAGGATAAGAAAATTTAAATTTACAGTTTACAGCAACCCTAATGGAGCACAGGAAGCTAATTTTAGTTATGATTTTAGCCACTTGTTTGAAATTTTTTGTATGAAGCCCTGATCTGGGCAAGAAATAACGGTGTTCAAAGTTCCTTTGCGCCAAGAATTAGTTTACATATGGATCTATTCCAGGCCTTCCAAACTATTAACATCCCAACAGAAATAAGGATAAGCAAAATAAGAGATACAACTTTCAAATATAAAGTATTTTCAAACTAAAGTTACTGCATCACAACACCAAGACCCTCAGTACACCCGTGACCGACATTGAAGACACATTCTGTTGTGATCCGTGCTAGTTAGAACAGAAACAGCACTTCTCAGAAGAGGGGGTTTTGTCTGGCTGATCAGAAATCAAAATTTATTTTAATAAATTGATTTTATTTGAATGCCAAAACCAGACTCCATAATATACTTTTTAATCTTGTTTTTATGTTCATATCTCAGTTCTCCTACAGAAGCATTATTTTTCATGCTCCATAAACATAAATGTATTGATTTACAAACAAACATATCTTTTACATAAAATTCAGTAACTTTATAAACCAGTAAGCCATCCTATGCATACATATTTGAAACAGTTCTATAACTTTGCCTACACTGTAGGTTTTAAATACCCACCAACTTCTAAACAATATAAAAATAAAAGTCGTTTCACTTGCACAGCACTGCATTTCAAGGGCCAACAATTTTTCTGGGAGAATGGAGGAGGGAAGAAAAGGTTTATTATTTAAAATAAAAATATTAAAGACTGGACAAGTGGACAAACTTTTCTCAACCACAGAACTTGCTTGTGAGACTGTCCTGGTTTCGGTTGGGATGGAGTTGATTTTCTTCCTATTAACTGGTATAGTGCTGTGTTTTGGATGTAGTATGAGAATAGTGTTGATAACACCCTGATGTTTTAGTTGTTGCTAAGTAACGTTTATGCTAGTCAAGGACTTTTCATCTTCCCATGCCTTGCCAGGTGCGCAGGAGCCTGGGAGGGAGCATGGCCGCGACGGCTGGCCCAGCTGGCCAATGGGCTATTCCACACCATATGACGTCATGCTCAGCATGTAAGGCTGGGTGAAGAAGAAGGTGGGGGGGGGGGGCGTTTGGCGTGATGGCGTTTGTCTCCCAGGTAACCGTTATGCGTGACGGAGCCCCGCTTTCCTGGAGATGGCTGAACACCTGCCTGCCGATGGGAAGGAGTGAATGAATTCCTTGTTTTGCTTTGTTTGCGTGCGCTGCTTTTGCTTTCCCTATTAAACTGTCTTTATCTCAACCCACTACTTTTCTCACTTTTACCCTCTGATTCTCTCCCCCATCCCACCTGGGGGGAGTGAGCGAGCGGCTGCGTGGTGCTCAGTGGCCGGCTGGGGGTAAAACCCGACAGAGGCATGACAAGTATTACTACCATTATTACTTGGCAAGTCAAATCAAGTAATTTTGTAATTTTGTTTAAAGTTTTGAAGACATCGTTAATAAAGAGCAGGTGGAGAATGACCTAACGAAAGTAGTTCTCACTTGAACTCTTCATCAGCCTCAGGTTTGCCTGAAATACTCTCTGAATTAAAAGCAGAATCTCCCCATCAACTCTTACACCAATATAGTATGTCAAACTCTGATTGCTTTACATAACTGTAATCCACTGATAGGTACACACGTCTTCAAGAAATCCAGTCCTCCATATATGATTATTAAGATTTAAAGTTGTGCCTGGTGAGGAAGGAAGCCAAAGGATTCTTCCTTTAATTTCCACATGACCTATAACCCTTGCAAACCACAATAAACCCTCATCATTAGCAGCCACAGTTAGACACAGAATACAATAGCTACTCATTCTGTATCAGCCAGCAGTATCTTCTTGGGGTGAAAGAAGTCAGAATACCAACTAAAGTCTGATTAGAATACAGTACATTAGCTACTATTAGTATAAACTCTAGCATGAAAATATTAAACAGTGCCTTAAGGAAAAGCATTATCCTTTAGAATGCCTGGCTACAATTACAAAAGGGACAAGGTAACAGCTTCAATTTTACCAAGCAGAGATACAGATACTATTAAGTTCCTTGTGTTAGAAATAGGCATATTAGCCAGCTGGTTTGGATGAAAATCAAAGTCACATTAAGGTGAAACGTCACCATTTTTTTCTTCACGAACTACCCCATGGTATGCAGCAGCATGAAACATCTTAAATCCATTCCTTTAGCCAAGACAACAAAAAGACTATTCTTTACAGTAAGTGTTTATCCCACAGACCTGCAACAAAGATTCCAAGGGATTCATAGTGAAAGTCACATCTCTGACAAAAGAAAAAGAATTCATGAAGCGAGAACAAGAAGATTAAAAACAAAAAGCAAAACCAATTATCAACATACTGAGAGGTGACAAGCAGAAATCACAAAGATGGACTTAGTGCTAAACAAACACCAACCACTTGAGCTAGAGAAGTTGGATAGAATTTGATACTCCAGCATTTAAAAAAAGAGTCGAAATCTTAATTTGAGAAAATATGTTCTGATGGAACTGCACAGGGATATTTATGGAATCCAGGGTATTCGACAACTTAACAGCTACACTGTCAGAAGACAGTAATGTAGGTCTGGATGGAGTTCTTGCTGTAACACCAAGATTACAGGCAGATGGCCTACGAGCTGAGTAAGACACTCTTTAGTCTTCATAGACTCTGTGACAAGTTCTGTCAGCCATATGCTTCAGCCATCAAAAAAGATCACAGTCATCTATCTCAGTCAGCCTGGAAGTATAGAGTTGACAAGAACATATAGTACAAGTAAAAGAAGGAAAGCGAAGCAGACCTCTAGCATTTGGTGCCAAATCAGTTCATCCGTTGAAGATTCCCCTCTCACATTGCCTCACTTTATAATAAAACCGTATCACACAATCATCATTTGGTTCTCAGTAAATTTTCAATTCTGTTGCAAGACTCTAATACCAGTTCCAGATTTTAATGGTTTACAGACAGAGCAAATGGACGCATACCCACATTACACAGATACCAATCATTTTAGGGGCACTGCAGTGCTTCTAAGAACTAGAGTGTGTTCTCAAAATGCCCTATTTCCTCTAACAAGTGTTTGTATGACATAGGGTGCATATGTGAAAGCAACGAGGTTTTTGTAGCTCACCTGCAAGTCCAGGTGAGCATTTGTTTCACCATGCCTTTTCATCCTCTCTTCCTTAGAACATAACTTCTTAGATTGCTAAAAGAACTGAGTGACTGGGATGACGGCAGCATTTATCCGTTCACAGACTGTGATATAAGATTATGAGCATGGCTATATTTTGCCCTATTACTCTTGTGATATTGGCAACTTTAAATGTTACGGTGAGACTTTTTCTAAAGAAAAACTGCTCTGTCAATTTCAGTCTCAAAGCTGTTAAAGCCTTTTTCAGAAATAAGCTGTCATTCTGTGTGTTTTAACTAGTGATATGGATTTTCAAACTAAAGTTTGAAAATGGATATGGATTAATATGTACAAATACAAAATGTGATAAAAATCATGACTAGTGTCACTGTTGCGCATGAAGATTTCTGCTCCATTAACGAGACATTGGTTGTCTCTTAAAAGAGCTAAAACAAAAAAAATAAGGAACCCACCAGGGCAGTGTCATATGGAAAGCAGAAGATGAATAATTTTTTCTGTCCTAATGTGTAAGAATACAGTACAGAGACACCTTCATGAGCTTCCTAGCAGAAAAAGATCCTACTTTTTTTTTTTTTTTTTTGATGCTGGACTTTTAAGTAACCTTAAATTTAACACTTTTGGCTTAAAGTGGTATGGTTTACTATTATGTCAGAAGCAGGACTGAGGATGTTTCAAAAACATTCAGTGTATGTGAATACCTAAATGACCTTGAAATGTAGTGGCTACTTTCAAATTAATAACTGCTGAATTGACTCACGTGAGTCATGGAAAATAATTTGACACAACTGCCTAAGTTTAGGAACATCTGTAAGACACCAAAACAGAGCTGGAAATGTTCCGCTGATGCTGTGTGTGGCATATTTATTGAATAGTAAGTAGCAACAGCTATGCTTCTGAAGACAGTGTTGTAAACAAAACTGAGCTATGGACAATATGAGAAGGGTGTTGAACTGCTGACAATTAGCTTGCTGGTTAGTTATGGAAGTTTCTGCATTCTAACTAATAATGACCACAGGTCAATCACAATGCCAGAATTTGTACATCTCTACAGGCTTGCAAAAACATGAGAAGTTTAAAGAACTAATCCTCTGGTTTCACTCCTACTTTCAACTTCTCTATTGTATCCCCACAAACTGGTTGTCTCAGCACTTTTCC